AGGTTGGCCACACGGCTCGGTGCTTTAAACCAGAAGCAGGACAAGAGCCTATTTGTGTGGGGGTCTGTTACCCACCTCCAGTCTCGCACTGCAGGTCGGTGCAGAAGACAGGAGGAATCAGAGAGCTGTGGCCCACAGCTGGTTCAGCTGGAGATGCTTTTCATCCTTGATGATTTTGCCACGCCCTCCACACATGGTCTCAGCAGTGGGGCGGGGGACATCATGGTGATGGGAATATTAGTACCACTACTCCTGCTTAGGGTTGACCAGCTTCTAGATCCTGTGCCAGTCCTTGTAAAATCCCCTAGCCTTACCTCTCACATCTGCTGGTGGGTGTTGTTATTTCTACTTCTTGGAGTCAAGAGGGGAGCTCACACATGTTTGGTAGTTTGCTCCAGGTTGCACGTCTGTGGGCAGCACAGCCAGATGTGAACACAGTTCTGTCTTACCCCATGGTCTGTTGCACTATGGCCCTACAGTTAAGAGCACAGAGGCCAGACCCAGCCTCTGGGTCTGCATCTGGCTGATCCAGCTGAGTGCTGTTAGCAGTGGAAGAAATGTGCTTTATCCATTCACCTCCGCTGTACCAATCCCCATGATAAGATATATAAGCCAACACACACAGAGCCCATTATAAAGAGGGGTTTCTGTCACAAAAGTCACTGCATAGGAGTCCTCACCAGACTGACACAGGGACCCCTGGAGGGTGAGAGGTCACCCTTGTGAAGTTCCAGATGTCAGGGAGAGGAGTTCCCCATATAACCAGTGGATGAGATGTTAGCTGTATTTGTATGGGCGCCTTTTGTCTGGCTATGTTCCTAGTATGACGCTGGCCATTGAACTGTGTCCAATGTTTTAGTCATCCATGGAGATAATCATGTTTCTCTTCTACACGTTGCTGATGTGGTAAGTTACACTGATATTTTAAATACTGAATCACACTTGTATTGTAGGAGTGGTCCCTAATTAGTCTTGATGTCCTGTCTTTTTATATATTCTCAAATTTCATTTTACAGTGTTCTATTGAAGGTTATTAAATATATTTTTTCCTTGTTATGTATTAAACTTTTGGCTTTGAGATTTAAAAAGTAATGACACAGATCTTATTGTGGTCATCATTTCACGATATATCCATGTCAAGTCATTATATGGAATACATTAAACTTATACACAGGTGTATGTCAATTATATCTCCATAACAATGGGGAAACGGTCATTAAGCACATCATGACATCACAACCCTTGCTTGACATGCACACTGCAGTCAATCATAGCTGTACTTATATGCCCCATGCACACTCATATGTCCAAAATGTTTCTGTACAACCATGTTACATGCACATACCATACTCTGAAAGACACACACACTACCCACATGCCAAATATTCACACACCTCACATCACACACACACACTCACACACACATACACACAGAGCACGTTCTGTCTAGAACAGTGACTATAGCTCTTACCTCTTACACAGACAAAATAACTCTCCCCAGCCATGACTTCATGACAGGAATTTACCACCAGCTAGAATAGAGAGCGGGGGGCAGGTCAGGAATAGTGAATGGGAGGGACATGGTGAGAAGCCACCCCATTCCCCTTCTCACATTTATCCCACACTCACCAAGTTAACAATGTCTTCCAGGGACTTGAATCCATTGTCTATACCATACATTTGATCCTTTCTTTCTACGATGTCATTCAGCTACAAGAGAGAAGAGGTGCCTTGGGCCCATGGCCAGGAGTTGAGGACACAGAAGTCCCCATCCCAGGAGACAGTCTCTTCCCTCATGCCATGTTGGACTCCAAGGCCCAGGCCTTAGCATTGGCCAGCAGCCCACCCTTAGGGAAGGGAAAGCCCTTCCAGCTGCACCTCTGGTGGCAGGTTTTACACACTTGTCATTCATTTCTGGAGTGGCTATATGCTGTCCAGACACTACAGGTGAGTTAGAGGAGCAAACTTAGGAAAGCTGCCTGTGAATGCTTTCCCCATCTAGGCTCACAAGGGGTACCTGCTTACCTGTTCTGAATTACCTGATCTTTCCTATAGTCTTTTACACCCACGCAATAAACTTTGGCACCCATATCTTGAGCCTTCTCAGCCTAAGAGAAAGAACACTTTGAGTATAAACTACCAAATACATGGTACAAAATGTTGGTAACAATGGGTTGGACTCACTTTGGACTTAGTCTCCTGAAATGCCTTTGGTGTCAGTGGTCCTGTGGTCAGAGCAATAATCAGACCGGCATTGTTGCCTGTAGGGGAAATAGGGAGTGACCCCATTGATAAAGGCACACAAAATGACTCTCTTTGCAGGCTGCTGGGGCCACAACACTGCTCCCCGTACCTCCTTCTCCAGGGGAGAAGTGCCCAGACCTCAGCGCCTGCCATCATGAGCACCTGGAGGACTAGCAGGTCAGTTCTGGAGGGAGAAGGAGCCTTAGCCAGGATGTTAGATGAAGATGGTTTTGGGTAGAGCATAGCCTTTTCCAGTGCTGGAGACACAGGCACAGGATGACATCAGCCAAAGGGAAGGAACAGAAGGGAAAGGAGCCAGGGCCAGAAATGTGATGGAGACAAAGTGGGCTGCAACGGGAAATCCAGCACTTTTTCCTGAAAATGGAATCTTGTCTGCTCTAGGTCCCCAGGCTTTTCTGTTTTCTTGTTCAGGCAGCCCAAGTGTAGGTCAAGCACCTCTCAGTTACCAAGAACCTAGAAGGTCCATGCATGGCCCCATGTTGTTCTGAGACACATCACTGGGGGTGGTTTCATCCTCACTGCATAGAGGAGGGACCCGTGGCCCAGAGAGGTTAGCACCTTGCTCCAAGAGTCCATGCTAGGAAGGGGCCAATGAGAGTCTGCACTAGATTTCCCTGAGGCTCAGGCCTGGCTCTGTCCCCACACCTGCCCACAGTGAAGTCACCAGGCAGCTTACCCCGAGTTTGCTTGTTTAATCTGCTCATTTGCCTGCAAGGAAATGAAGGAATGTTGGAGGAGGGCAGTGAGAGGACCCAGGAATACTCTAAGAACCCCATAACGCAGAAGTCCTCAGAGCTCTAGATTCAGTACATTTTTAAATCCTTCATGCATATTTGTGGCTCCAGTAGGCTTTATATTCTTAAGTCTGCTAAGACTATTATGTATTTTGTTTCTAAAAAAAAATCAGAAAAGAGGTTGAGGTATAATTTGGGGTTGATATTAAAACTAGCTCTAGTATTATGCTGAGTGAAATAAGTCAATCAGAGAAAGACATGTATCATATGATCTCACTGATATGAGGAATTCTTAATCTAAGGAAACAAACTGAGGTTTGCTGCAGTGGTGGGGGGTGGGAGGGATGGGGTGGCTGGGTGACAGACACTGGGGAGGGTATGTGCTATGGTGAACGCTGTGAATTGTATAAGACTGATGAATCACAGACCTGTACCTCTGAAACAAATAATACATTATATGTTAAAAAAAAAAAGAAGATAGCAGGAAGGGAAAAATGAAGGGGGGCAAATTAGAGGGGGAGATGAACCATGAGAGACTGTGGACACTGAGAAACAAACTGAGGGTTCTAGAGGGGAGGGGGGTGGGGGAATGGGTTAGCCTGGTGATGGGTATTAAAGAGGGCACGTTCTGCATGGAGCACTGGGTGTTATGCACAAACAATGAATCATGGAACACTACATCAAAACTAATGATGTAATATATGGTGATTAACATAATAAAATAAAAAAAATGGCATCATACTATAGAAAAAAAAAAAAGTAGCTCCAGTCCTGGAGCCACTGTGCAGTGTGTAGACCTGTCTGGCTGGGACAGGACACTTGTGACCTTCTGCCCTCCGTGCTTGATAGTGACAGGCCTCACTCAGGCCTCCTCTGTCCCCCATCAGGTGAGCATAGGGTGGGAATGCTGCTTTGCTGGTCCCATGGGTATGGCCTGGCTTTCTCGTCACTGTCTCAGGGCCCCAAGACCCTGCCTTGACCATCCACGGTGAACATGGGGCACACCCATGGATGT